AGAGTTGCTGTTGCCTGGGTCTCACGTGGGGTTCGTTGACTAGTCAATGGTGCATGGTGTAGGCTGCCGCGATCGCTCGTATGAGCTGATCCGGCACCATCTTCGCGGCCAGGTCCAAGCCCCATTCCACTGCGTTCCGCTTGATGCCCGGGTGATCACCCAGAGCCTGCTGGAGGGCCTTCAAGTTGTTCTCAGAGTCAGCCATCTTGGGAGTGTTCTTGAACTTCTTGTTGATCCAGGTGGAGACCTTGGAGGTCTCGGGCCCACGGGGGCCGTCATTTAAGGTGTTGCGCTGGCGCTGAGAGGGCATGAAATTGGCCACTGTGGGTGTAGGCTCAGTGGCTGCTTGGGTCGATAAATGGGTTGCGGCGCCTGTTGCAAAAGCTGGTTGTTCAAATCCTGGATGAGCTTCTCCTGCTCCTGAATGTGTTGAAGAAGGTCGGAAGCTTGCTTCTGGGGGGTGAGTTGGGCCATGTAGTCGTAGATTTGCAGGGCAAAATCTTTCACACACAAAGCTCGCTGTCCCCAGTCGGTGACGTCCCGGTTCTTCTTGGCGGCGATGTCCGCCAGGATGGCGGACATGTCAGCACGAGGAAGTCCCGCCGCCTGGTCCTCGCGGATGCAACGGACGATGCTGGCCGCGAGTAGGGCGTCTTGTCGGCTGCGAAAAACTTTGCAGAAAACTGGACGCGTGCTGAGCATGCGCATCATCCAAGAGGGTTGTTGGCCATAGACGAGCGCCATGACTGGGACAAGGTGGACGGGTATGCCGGAAGTGTGGTTTTTTGGTGGCGCCTACCAGCCGGGCTCCTTGGTCGTGACAAGTCTTGACGGTGTGGGTGTCGAAAGGAAGTCCGGGAGGCCTGCCGTGAAGGAAAAACTCGGCTTGTTGTCATCTGCTGGTCGGGAGCGAGAATCGTGGCGATGGCGTTGATGGGAAGAAACACGATGGTGTTGTTCCAAACGTCCAGCTCGAGAACGAGAACGTTGAGACCGGCCCATGATGGCGGATCTAAAATCAGGTGTCAATCCCGTTATTGAGCCTTTGGCCAATGGCTGCAAACGGAGAACGGAAAGAAAGGACACCATCGAAAAACAAGGCAACCGAAAAACCTGAAAACTGTGAAGCGCAAGGCGCTTTTGAAGTGGAAGACGTGGGAAGCCCGAAAACTAAAGTCGTGTTGTAGAGTCCCATAAAAACCACACATTGTGCTTGCCAAAGAAAACCAGGGTCATCGGGTACGCCAAAAAATGATGACGAGGGCGGCTTCCAAGAGGTCCTTTTTGACGTACCCACAAAGGCAATGGAGACACTGGGTCGCATGCTGCGCCATTGATGTTTGACATTGGCTGCTGATCTTTTGAAGACCTTGCCCAAAGCATCGTAACTGGGTCTGGACTTGGCGTCAGACTTGCGCCTTGTGAGGCCCTTGAGCTCCTGTGGGGTCCAAGGCAGGTCATCACGAAGTTCACGGACAGGAGAAGTGGGCGTGGCCGGCAAAAGTGGAGGCTCATCTAGTCCAGGTTCAGGGGGTAGGTGTGGTCCCATTGGAAGAGGCGGTCAAGGTCCGACATCAAAGAGGAGACTATACACTGGGTTTGTTACTAGAAACCTGTGGGGAGTCAAAGGCCTGCGGGTCAAGAACAGAAACTCAAACGCAACAGGAAATGGAAAGAAGCTGCAAAAGCCTAATCGATGCTCATGAAGTTGTCGTGCTTTTTGATGTCTGGAAGAGATTGACGAGGGTGAGACTCTTCTGCGGAACTCAAAAAAGAAAAGTCGCCGTGAGGTTCCGGTGGATGTTGTCGTCAGCCACGGAGTAGGCTTATAGCCGATGCCCAAATGCATTCCACGGTGAGGAGCCGGGTGTAGAAAATTCCGAGTATACTAAATACTTGTAGGCGAACATGAAGAAAAGCTAAAAACGTCACGAGGTAGCCGAGGGTGTTGATAAGGGCAGAGGTTGGAAAAGCGTCAAATGAGAACGGTTGGGTCTGGAGTGTAATCGGGAAAAGCGGCCCAGGCCAGGCCTCGGAAGTTGTAGTTGTCGGTGTGGACGATCCAACACCGTCCACGGCAGTGATGCACAACTCCATGACCGCTTTGTATAAGAGCTTGGCAGGCTGGCTCACCTCCAGCGCGGGGACTGCCGTGCACTTGCCCAAAACTACACCTGTGATGACCACGCCGCCCGTGTTCAAGGCTAGATTCCAAGTGTTGTGCAACACTCGAGCTTGCTCCTGGCTATCCCAGACGACGTTGCCATAGAGCTTGGCTGCTTGGCAGTAAAAACCTGCCGCTCCGGAGAATGCCAAAGATGCCGGCCAATGTGGATGTATGTCCCCAGTAGATCATACTGTGGTCCTTGTCAGCCAGACCGAGCTTCGTGTGGTGCGGCTCCAGGCTCGGGATGTGCAAGTGGATGTAGTCATGCCGGGACTCGTCCGTGGAGATGTGGGTCAGCTTCCTCCTGTGATGTTAATGCGTGCCTCGTTCAAAATTCGTGCTATGTGGCGTAGGTGGAGAGCTGAAACGTTGCTGTGCGTTCACGGAGCCACACAAACAAAATCTCTTCAGGCTCTTGGACTACCGGAGGTCGTCGATGTGCTGGAAGTGGTGGGGGAGCAAACGGTAAAGGTGGTGCTGAGGGGGGAGAGCGGGTGGTGTGTGGTGGGGTGGGAGGGCAAGAGGCCAACCGCCGTGGTCGAGTGCAGGAGTGTGAGGAATGTAGCGGGCGGTGAGCGCTGGTCGCGTAGAGTGGGAGGTTGGTGTCGAGGTGGTTGGAGCCGGCCACGACCTCAAACAGTTCCCGGGCAGACATGTCCCAATCCACGACTCCGACCAAGAAGGCCAGAACTTTTTCGGTCTTCCCACAACCACCGAAACCACCGTCCATGGCTCACGGGACTCGCGCCAAGTCCCAGCACCCACCCCCACCCCGTCACCAACTTCCAAACGCCTCGAAAGGAGTACTCATCCAGGCTAGTGGGTGGAGACGGTGTGCGCGAATGGGTGTGAGAAGCTGGGGGAAAGAATGGTGCTGCCGAAGATGGGAGCTGGTATGTTGGCGGGATCCGGCGGGGATGGGGGGAGTGGACCGGCCACATGTGTCGGTGTTGAACGGTGGTCGGTGGACGAAGGCGGGGTCAGGTGGGTGAAGTGTCGTAGGTGGGTTTGTCGCCGGGAACCGCTTGACTGGCTCGTCGAAAACATAACCCAGCACGAAGACATGGGGCTGGAGGTACAGAAAAAGGGACGAAGGTGATCACCAATGCAAAATATGTAAGCTCTGAGCCGACGAGGACGGCGAACAATTGCATTCAAAATGCGGGCCATGAAGGGTCGCTGTGGGGCGAAAACCTTTATAAACAGGCAGGGTGGTCATGTTTGCTTAAGAAAACAAACACAAAAGACAAACAACCAGCAAGAAAAACACGTTTCACACAACAAAGGGGACCCAAAAGGACCAAAAGGAGGCCTTGGATTGGAAACGAACGAACTGTTTGGGCGCCAGGGTTGATCCCAATTCTCAACACACCGGCTCCGAGAGCCACACATGCGCAGCCCGGAGAGCAATCTCAAAGCTCGCAATCCCTGATTCGACTGGGCCCCCCCGAAGGAGGATGGTTTTGGGCTCGGACAGCCATACATGCTGCGTGCCGGTGCGCATAAGCAACTCACTCACGCACCAAGGTGACGGATATTCCGCTGGCATCTACTAGCACAGTCGGGATTCCACACACTGTTGCCATAAGGCCTGTTATTCCGTGAGCCACTTAAGGCGGGACTTTGGACCTTCACAAAACGAGCGCCATGAGGGGGCCAAGCATGAACACGAAGGAGCCCAGGGTTCCTTGAAGTCGTAAGCAAATTAGAGAACAGGGTGGAGTTTCGTCAGCTTACCTTCCCGATCTGTTCGCTCGCCGCGGCTACTCGTCAGTGCCCGCGACGAGGTACTAAGAAAGGGGGCCGGTTTGCTGGCATGGGCAGACTCCATGAAGTACAAAACAGAAAAAGCTCACTGCCGAAGCAGACCCTTTCCGGACGTCAGGGTTTACACACACACACAGACACACACAGACACACACAGACACACACAGACACACACAGACACACACAGACACACACAGACACACACAGACACACACAGACACACACACAGACACCCACAGACACCCACAGACACGCACAGACACGCACAGACACGCACAGACACGCACACACACAGACACGCACAGACACGCACAGACACGCACAGACACGCACAGACACGCACAGACACACACAGACACACACAGACACACACAGACACACACAGACACACACAGACACACACAGACACACACAGACACACACAGACACACACAGACACACAGAGACACACAGAGACACACAGAGACACACAGAGACACACAGAGACACACAGAGACACACAGAGACACAGAGACACAGAGACACACAGAGACACACAGAGACACACAGAGACACACAGAGACACACAGAGACACACAGAGACACACAGAGACACACAGAGACACACAGACACACAGACACACCAAAGCGATCCAATGCTGTTCCTGCTGTCAACCCCGTAACCTGTCATGCGAGCGTCGAACCAAGAGAAACGCCTCTCTTTCTCCTCGCCGGTCGGTTGTGCCATACATTCAGCCAAACTCCCATGGCCCACATTGGAGTGACCGAGCCACCCGACCGCAAATTCTCATCAGCGGTCAGGCCACTTGACTCTTTTCAGAGATCTGCCATGCTGTTGCCAAAGTAGCCTGGCAGCTTTACTTTGCTATTAGCAAGAAACCCTTGCGTCTGCAAGAGCCAAGGGCTGCTTCGCTGTGCCATTGCTCCTGCAACTCAGACAAGAATGCATCCTGGAAGGCTGACTGGCGCAAGATGGCACGCATTCACAGAGCACACACACACATACACACGGAGAGCTCACGCTCTACTGCAGGCTGATGTCAGGGAGGGACGCTGAGGTGTGGGTTTACGGTGTGTCTTGAACAAGGATCTCATGCAGATCTGGAGACCTGGTGTGGTGGCCCATGCAACGGGCTCGGCATGTCGCTGCCTTGCCAAACCGCGCCACTCTCTGGAACCCTCCATGGGATGGATCCAATCCGCACCGCACTGAATTTACGGCAATCCAAGCAATCCCCTCCTTGCTCAGAAATTGCCAAAGCAGAAGTTGAGAGGCTGCGAAGTGGACAGGCCAGCGGAAAAAAAACAGCGGCCCTTGCAGCGACGGGCGGTCTCTTGCAATCAGCGACCGCTCCTCAAACGTCTGCAAGGCATGGCCAAGGAAGGTGGAAGATGCCTTGAGCCAACAGTTGCAGGCCATCGTTCGTACCATTGGGTCCATTCTCAGCTCTCGCTTAAGAACTGCCAGGATACCCCGGCCCGCACTGAAGATTCTCTTCGCCATGCGCCGAGCACATGGATCAGATTTCAAGTTTGATGGAAGCAACCTTGCCACGGGACTGTCAGCTCAGCTCACGCAGTGTCTGCCACGAGCTCTGACAAGAGTTGAATTCGAAATTTGGCGCACTGGGATTGGCTGATTAGATTCTGCTCCGGGCGTGCCACCTAACCAAATTCGGCCCATGAAAAGCAGAGCTGGTATGGCATGTACGGGCGCAAAGCGTTTGCGTGTGACCCAAGCCTTCAATGAGGCTTAACAGAGCGTTGGTTTTTATTCCCCTCAAACTTGATTGGTCAGTATTCAAGCCTCCGCGGACCCTTCCGCATCCTTGCCGCGGGCCAAGAGGTCCCTTCCGCAGACTTCCGCGGTATGTTGTTCATCCTTTGCTTCTGCAAACCTGGCAAAGCAGCCGTCAGGGTTGCCTCCCTTGCAATCTTGCGTGCCTAGGCCGTTTCGCTGGTTGTGAGCAATGCAGGTTGCTGCCTGAGAAGTCATGTTGCATGTGCTTGCAGGTGTTTGCATACCGCTTTGCACACTCTGCACCGTGGCCTATGGAGGCTGTCTTGAGCTTCTAGCGGTTCCACCCTCAACATCTGTTTTAGGGCACTTGCCTGCAGATACGGGGCCACACTTCCCCGGAGCTTCCGCGAACCTTCCGCAAACCTTCTGCGATGACAACTGGTATACCAAGGTCAGATCCGCACACGCAGCCGTAACCAGCAGCACATAGAGGGTGGCTAGACGGTATCAAACAAAGGGTAAAGTGCCTGCGACAGTTTGCAGCAATTTTGGGCAAAATGCGACAGGTTGATGCAGCGCGCCTGATGTGGCACAAACATGTTTTACTCCTTCTACACTTCAACTGATGCAGCATGTTGCGGCCAGCTCCGCGTGTGCGACGCAACAGGGTGCAACCTGCATCAGCTTGCGTTATTATGCATTACCTTTGACACAGTTTGTTTGAGCCACCCCTGAGCCCAAGGCAATGGACAGGTACCCGAAGTCGTTTCAGGACTGGAGGAGATCAAGTTTGCAACAAATGGACAGTAGTAACCAGCGGTTCTGCCACATGCTACAAGCTTTCAACTGCACCCGCCTGCTCCAGACAATAAGCCACGCTTCAATCGACGACCAGCATGCATGCGGTGGAATTGAGTCTGCACGGCAACGTTGATGGACGGCAGGTTGTTGCGCCGTTCCGAGTGTGACATCAGACACTCCTGTTTTGGTCTTCTTGGCTTGCTGTTGGCAACTGCTCTTCTAGCAAGCGGTGCGTTTCTTTTACGCAGCAACACCTTTCTGCTTCTACTGCAATCGTTTCTCCGTGCTTTTCCACGTACACAAACTGAAACACTTTATATCAAACCACAAAGCTTCCGCACTTCCACAAACCTTCTGCGAAAGAAATCCCTTCCGCGAAGCCTTCCGCATGCTTCCGCACGTGTGGCGTGTTGCACATTAGCTTGCGGGCAAAAAACTGCCGCTCAACTGCGACCTGCACAAACAGCTACCCTCAGAGCCGAACCTTTAAGCACAGGCTTTCTCTCTCCTGAGTTTGCTGTCAGCACGTCGAAAGACGCACGCCTCTTGAAGGTGTGGCCGCAACAATGCGAGGATCTGCCTGATAGACTAGAATCCTCGAGGATACCCCAAGGGAGACGCACTGACTTGGGTTTGCGTTTTACCGTCTTTTAAGCACAAGCGACTTGAAGTCCTTTATTGTGCCAGTTGCAAACGAACACCCTTGCAGCTTTTGGCCGAACGGCGCTGCCTCCAAACCTTGAAATGTCTTCACATCTGGAGCTTCCAGATCTTTGCGCTCACTTGGCCCCGCGATCGCCTCCCGAAAGGCACAGCACACATCTCCAGCATCTCGAGCAAGGATGCAGCGATGTCTGCCAACTTGCCGCAGCTTTCTGGGCCCTGCTGATTCAAGATATTCGTGAAAAACATGTTGGTTTGCAAACCAGGCAATTGTGTTCGTGGCTTCGCTCGATCGAGGTCAATAGTCTTCCACAACCCCTGGCCGGCCCTGCTTGACTCTCCCGACAAGCGCCGCATCAGCAATCAGTCAAGCACCTGACATCTGCATGCACTCCCACTTTTCATGCCCCGAGCTGAGACGGTAGCATGTCGCTTGGCCCAAACCTGGCAAGGCGGCCGCTCACAAAATGGGAACGAGCATGCTGCTAACCGCAGCAGCATCCATCTGGTTGAACAACAAGTGCAACTGGCATCCTCCTCGATGATGTTCATTGAGTCCTGACACAGGTGCCGGGGTGGGTCGATTGAACTGTTCGAATCAGTGCCACGAGTTTGACAAGTTGAGGGACACAGCAGTATTACCAAGATGTGCTTGCTAGTTGCCAGGTGCTTTCAAAACTTCAAGGATCATCCCAACATCCCTTGCTACCAGCCTTAAATCTGCGTGGAGTTTGCGCTTTACTACTACTAATTGCGGAACGCTCTGATACACTGTTTCAGCATCATGCTGACATGGAATCTCTATTTGAGCCTAACACTTCCTGGCAGCAGTTCCTTGGATCTTCGGCTCAAATGATGTTCTGTTAAATATTTTTGTATCATGTTTTGTAACTCTCCTCCTCCCCCTCTCATATCCTGCAACAGCCACTTCAATTCTTGGAACAGTGGACGTGAACCTGTTGCTTTCGTAGACCTTATGTATGCCTTCACCGCGCAAAAAAAAAAACAAAAAAAACATCTTGCCGCGACACCTTGCCGTTTCTCGGTTCCCCCCCCCCACCCCACCCGCAACGCCTTCAACATCATCACCGCGCACAAACCATTCAAAATGAGAGGGGCCAACCATAGGCTGTGACACCTTGCCGTTCTTCTGTTCCCCCTCCCTTCCCCGCCCGCCGCCAGTTCCTTATTCTCAGCCTGCTGCCAGCAGCGTACTGCCCACCTCTGCAAATCGTCAGCTTATCCGGGGTGTCTGACAGCAAGTGGACCAAAGGGGGCCTAAACATGCCAAAGCATGAGCTTTGAACAAGTCCTCATCGTGGGAGATGGGGCGCGCGTCTTTGCGTGGCCGCTCTTGGGTCTGCCTCACAGCCTCACAGCCTCACAGCCTCAGTATGTATGAGAATTTGTTTGCTGATGACAGGCACACCGCTGCCCAAACAGCTCAGGAAATTGAGACATGCCCGGCAAGTCGGCCAAACGCGGCTACGGCAGAACACCCGCGACTTCTAGTAGCGGCCCACCGCGACTGTTCCTTTGGAATTTGGGCTATGCCCCGACTAATGCAATATAAGGAGCTGATCTGAACTCTTGGGCCTGGTGTGCAGCACTGGGAAGTCCTGCTGCCACATGCTCGTTGCTAAGTACATGCGCGCTACTGTGGCTTCAGCAATGGCTCAGGCTGTGGCTCATTTCGCGTGACTTCAACGAAATTCGGTGAGCACGGGTTTCCATCAGCCAGGTCTACATGCTTGCAGCAGCCGACGGATCACCATGCGCCAGGTGGGATGCTTGCAACAAAGCAGCGCACGCGTCTTCGCTCTGGCCAGAACTCTGCATGGCAACAGGCCCTCTCCGTGTGCTCGAAGCTCTGAGGAATTCTGGCTCCGCTCGCCAACGCGCGTTGAAGCAGCAAGCTATATTCCTCTGAGAGGGCGCCGGGAGCCGCGCTATGCACTCGGCGCAGGCAAGCCCTGGGGCGAACCTGACCGCAGCCAGGCTCCGCTACATGGCCGGCCTAGCGAGTCTAGCCCGTGGACACAAAGCAAAGGCAAAGGGAACATGTGAAGACCGATGTGCTGGGATCCCCAGGATAGCTCATCACGATTAAGCTCGCTTTAGCCCCCAAGTCCGCATGTGAAAAGGGCTTTGCGGCCCTGCCACTGCCAGAGCTGCGGCTTCTGAAAGTAGCTGGCATGCGCTAAGCTGCGCGCTCTGCGCGGCACTGCGTATGCACATGCCACCAAACCCTGGAGCCCGACAGCCATGCCACGCGCAGTCACGTGCGGCTGTGTCCGCAGCAAGCCTCAAGAACGAGGCAACTGAAATTATTTGCAAGAGAGCAAGCGTAAGTTGCTGTATCGCAAGCATATCGGACACGCAAAGCAATACATACCAATAAAATCGAGTGGTATCGCAAAGCTTGCAGTACCGAACCGCATCGTCATCAAAACAGCCCTGCTAAAATTACCTGCAAGAGAGCAACGTGAGCTGGGCTTCAAGTCAGAAATCTGATTGCGTAGGCTTACAATGAGGTGCATGGCACAGGCCAGTATCCAAGCAGGTCGCAAACACCACAGTGCCCTGGGCCCCTCCTAAACCTCCTTCTCAAGGGACTCTTGCCTGGCGATCCCGAGCCGAGCCGTGTTGTAATGATGCCTTATGGTTTCCTGGGAGGCGTTACAGCTCGAAAGAACTTGCCAACCTGGCGCTGTCCGCCTGCACCTCCAGTCCAACAACTCCAAGCCGAGAAGGGGGTCAAACCTTTTTCTGTCCACGGCACGGTCAGGTGGGAATGGAGTCGCACACGGCGAGGTCTTTCAAGCAATGTGGCCAAGGTTCTGCGAACGATTGTACCGAAACGCACGCCGCCTTCATTTGCCTTCGCACAAACACGAGGTCAAAGCGTCTATACAAGGCAGCTGTTGAATGGATGCTGCTGCCGGGAAGTCAAGGTTGAAGGGAGGCAAGGGGAAGACTGATTGCATAGCTCAGGAATGCGAGAAGTCGGAGGAACATGCAAGGGCTGCGCCTTTGATTTATGACCAGTGTAGCTCCGATCCGCCGGTCAAATGCTACAGCTCTACAGCGCTATAGTCCGTGTAGCTTGATTGGAAGCCAGACAGCTGGCCTTGTTGCAATGGCTCCATGAGCAAGGTGCTGCAGAGCGAGTCAGCCAAGCTGGCTGATGACTCTGCCAACCGCCATGAGCCCTGGCCTGTTTGGCCTTCAACAGAGAGGCTGAACTGAGTTCAGCAACGGCCAACTTTGCAGGGGTAAGACGTCAGGTGGGAATGAAG